ATTCAATGAAATCATTGAATCAGTTCACACTCGGTCCTGTGATCATTTTCACAGTTTAAATTTTGCTAATTTATAAACATGGGAGTGATTTATTCAATTTTTTTAGTGTAGTGTAATTTTTTTCATAGAGGTCTTTGATTCCCATAATTACATTAATTCCTAGGTTATTTTAATTTTTGTTTTTCTTTTTTTGAGCTGCTGTGAGTGTAATTGTCTTTCTGATATCCTCCTTAGCAAGTTTTATTACTGGTGTTCAGGAAAACTACAGATTATACCCTGCCACTTTGCTAAATTTTAAAAATCAGATCTAAAAGTCTTATAATAGAGCTTTTAGGCTTTTCTAACTCCAGTGTATCATCTGCAAAGAGAAATAATCTGACTTTTTCCTTCTTATCTGTATCCCTTTTATTTCTTTCTCTTGCCTAAAATTGCTCTAAAACCTGAAGTACTATCTGGAACAGGAATGGTGAGTAGGCATCTTTGTCTTGCTCTAGATTTCAGAAGAAATGCTTTCATAGATCCCCATTCAGTATACTCTTGAATGTGGGTTTGTCATATATAGTCTTTGTTGTACTTTCTTTCTAGATAGCCATCCCAAACCACGTGTGTGTATAGGTGCGACTTTGGGGAGCTGATTGGATCATGGCCTGATAGTAATTTGGGAGGTGAAGCCTGATTGGTGGAGGTGAGCCCCTGGGGGTGTGGCCTGGAAGGGTTTATTTCCTTCCCTCCTGTTCTGCAGCTCTGTGTGCCCTGCCTGGGAACCAGTCAACTATGGAGTAAAATCTGTACACACTCTGTGCCAAAATTAATTTCTCCTCCTTTAATTTGTCGGCTTTGGGTTTTGTATTTCAGCGATGAGAAAGTAAGTAAAAGAGGCTTTATTATATTGAGGTAAGATCCTTCTATACCTATTTTATTCCAGGCTTTATCATGAGGGGATGTTAATTTGTTGAAGATCTTTTCTGTATCTACTGAGATGATCATGGGACTTTCATCTTTTATTTTATTTTTGTAGTATATTTATTGAGTTACACATATTGAACTATCTTTGCATTCCTGGAATGAAATCAGTTTAATCACAGTGTTTGATTTATTTTATGTGATATTGAATTCAGTTTGCGAGTATTTTGTTAAAGATTTTTGTATCTTTGTCAAGGAGATTGGTCTGCAGTTTTCCTTTTTTGTTGAGTCTTTATTTGGTTTTGTTATCAAGATGGCACAGCTTTATAAAATCAGGTTTGATTGTTTGTTTTGGTACCAGGGGTTGAACTGGCAACTTTGTGCTTGCAAGGCAGGCAGTGGAACCACTGAGCTAAGTCCCCAATATAAAATCAGTTTGGAAGTATCCACTGCCTTCCTTTTTCTTGGGATACTTTGAGGAGAATTGGTATTAGTTTTGTTTAAAGGTTTGATAGGCTGGCTGAGGATTTAGCTCAGTGTTGCTGCTGCATTCCTTGTAAGCGCAAGGTCCCAAGTTCGATGCCCAGTACCAAATAAATAAATAAATAAATAAAGGTTTGATAAAAATCTATGTGGTTCTGGGCTAATTGTTGGACAACTTTTTATTACTGTTTCAGTCTAATTGCTTGTCATTGACCTGTCTAGGTTTTTTATATCCTGCTGGTTCCATTTTTATTGGCCATATGTGTCCAGAAATTTATTCATTTCTCCTAGATTATCCAATTTCTTCTAACACAAGTGTTCAGAATAGCCCTTACTCTCCTTTGGATCTCAGGGCTTATTATTGTCATAGCTCTTGATTCTAAGTTTATCAATCTGAATCTTCTCTTTCTTTTGGTTAAGGGGATAGCAATCTTGTTTTTCTTTTCCAAGCACCAGTTCTTTCACGTATTGCTTCATGTGATAGTCAGCTGGAGTGTCACCTTGATTGGCTTTGAGATCCACCAAGGGGGTTGGAATTGGTGAAGCACAGTTTTGGTTGCTTCCTGGTAGCTCACAGAGGGCAGCCTCTGGGTCTACGCCCACTCCCTCACCCCGCCCTCTCTGGTGCTGTTCTCCCGTCTGCTACCTGGCTGAGTGAAGCAGTTTTGTTTTATCACCCCCTTCCACCTTCACACGCCTGCCTTAGGGATGAGAAACTTCTAAAGCCGTGACAGAAATGAAACCTGCTCTCTTTTAAATTGTGGATGTCAGATATTATGCCCCAGCAACAAAAAGCTGGTTAATACATTCGTATGGTTCTTTTAGACTCTTTCATTAATGTCAGCTCTGATCTTTATGATTTCATTTCTCTTATTTACTGTTTTTGTTGTCCTAAGTCTTTGAAATGTACCATTGGATTATTTGTTTGAGGTGTCTCTGCTGGTTTTGTTTGTCTGTTTGCTTTTGGTACCAGGCTCGAATTCAGGTCCTTGTGCTTCGGAGGCAGAACCACTCAGCTAAATCACCAGCCCATTTTTTTTATTTTTTTAAATGTAGTCACTTGTAGCTATGAACTTCCTTCTCCAAACTGCCTTCACCGTATCCCACACACTCTTGTATGTTGTGTTTCCATTTCAATTTGATTTCAGAAATTTTTAAATTTCTCATTTGATTTCTTCAGTGACTTAGCCATCAGTTAAAAGAATATCGTTCAGTCTCAGTGTGCTTGTGCGGTTTCCATAGTTTCTCTCGGTGTTGATTTGTAATACCCTTGTACTGTGACCTGATGAGATGCCAGTAATTATTTCACTTGCTAATTTTTGATGCATTTGAGTTTATGGCCTCAAATATGATCTCTTTTGGAGAAAGGTACATGAGCTGCTGAAAAGAATGTGTGTTCTGCACTGTTGAATGACCACTCTGTGAATGTCTGTTAAACCCAGTTGATCTATAGTATACTTTAACTCTAATACTTTTTAAATTTTTTGGTCTGGTTGACTTGTTTACTTGCAAAATAATGCTCATTCATTTAGAGTAGCTTTTAATGTCGTTTCTGATGCAATCAGATCCTATGGGAAAGTTATTTTTACCTCAAAGTTTCAGTGGACGACAGTGGGGGGCAGTTTGTGGCTGTAATATGTATGAGGCACAGGCCTTCTCATCACGGGGCTCACTCAGGCCCTTCCCCCACGATTTTGTTGTCGGGAGTTCTGGGTCATTGGGTCTGTGAAAATGCATGAGTGTGGCTGCAAGCAGCCTGACTCTGTAACTTGGGGGGCAGTGGAGAAACAAACATATAGAGCTGCCTGCATTTGAAGTCCTTCTGAGATCTTTTGCCTTGTTTACACCTGTGAAGTCCGGACATGTACAGAACTGCCACGGACAGAAGTCACTGGTTACCTCGAGGAAGCAAATATTAAGAGTAAAATTCAGAGGAGAGCGAACTGCATGGATCACTGTGCTTGTTATTCACTGAGTGTTTCTGACTTGCTAAAAGCAAGTTTAGTGTATTTACACAATGTATAAAGATGTAACTGATTCTGGAGCTCTGCTCTTTACAGGGAACATATTTCATGTTATTGTACGCACCCGAAGAAAATTAAATCAATAAATCCACAGCTTGTAATTTGAGATACTCAATTGGAAGAAAAATATATTCAGGGTGGGAGGGGAAAATCCTTTAAATTGAGGAAGACTCGTAAACAGCCTGTCTTGGCCCTGCTGTCCCATGCACTCAGGTGACAGCAAGAATGACCTTTCTGCTGCAAGATTAGGGAAGCATCCTCATGGCACTGACCAAGAGCAAGGGCCGACTGCCTTCCTTTTAAAATGAAGCATTTATTCCGGAAGGAAGCAATGCAGATGAGTCTCTCTCCCTGCTCCGGACTTGCTGCACGGACCCTGTGTGCCCCCTTTCCTGGAGAAAGTTTCCCTGGGAAGCTATCTAGGTGTGTCAGAAAGCTCAGTGAATTTTCCCTCTCACTGACGTTGATACTCTATGACCCCTGGCCGGCCAATTAACCTCTCCACGGGTCACCCTTCCATGTGTGGAAGGTTAATAGTGCAGCTTGTTTGCAGACTGCCTCCAGCCCTCCGTGAAGGGCTCTCCCTAAATACCCAACATTGCTGTTGGACTAGAGGGCACTGTAGTTTTTAATTACATGTTTGGCTGGATAGGTTATAGATTTTGTTGTGGACGAATGTTGTTCTTCTCTCTGGTTACAAATAAAAGACTCACAGGTAATCTCATTCTATTACCATCTTCTCAAGTCCCCTGGAGGTTTAAGGGAATGACAGTGGACGAATGTTGTTCTTCTCTCTGGTTACAAATAAAAGACTCACAGGTAATCTCATTCTATTACCATCTTCTCAAGTCCCCTGGAGGTTTAAGGGAATGACAGTGGACGAATGTTGTTCTTCTCTCTGGTTACAAATAAAAGACTCACAGGTAATCTCATTCTATTACCATCTTCTCAAGTCCCCTGGAGGTTTAAGGGAATGACAGTGGACGAATGTTGTTCTTCTCTCTGGTTACAAATAAAAGACTCACAGGTAATCTCATTCTATTACCATCTTCTCAAGTCCCCTGGAGGTTTAAGGGAATGACAGTGGACGAATGTTGTTCTTCTCTCTGGTTACAAATAAAAGACTCACAGGTAATCTCATTCTATTACCATCTTCTCAAGTCCCCTGGAGGTTTAAGGGAATGACAGAGGTTATAGATTAATAAAGCATTCTTTAGTTAATAAAAAATATTCTGTGCATCTCAACTGCATAATGGCTGTAGGTGACAATTTATTGGGCTGTGTGCTTCATCAGATGCTAAACAGATAATGCTAGCAAGACAGGTGAAATGATCAGGGCTTTTTTCCTGCTCCCTTAGCAATCTATTTTGTTCTTCCCATTGATAAAGAGCATTAGGAACACTTTTGTTGTGGTGTAGTTCCTATATGTTTATGAATGATGTAAAAATGACTCTTACTCTGGAATTCCTGACCAAGCTATTTGCTTTTGGGCACTTAGGTTGTGACGTGAAGCTTGTTGTTTCATTTGGTCCAGGTATGAATATTACCAGCACCAGAACAGAGTGTCATATATTTCAAACTTCTTTGCAGATTTACGGAAAAACTTTGAGCAAGACCCACAAGGAAGGGAGGTCCCCATCGAGGGCATGATCGTGCTGCACTGCCGCCCGCCCGAGGGAGTCCCTGCTGCAGAGGTAAGACAGACTCCATCCCACTGGCATGAGAAGATGGGCCGGGGCTCAAGAGGGAGGCCAGAGTCCTGCGAGGCCATGGCGAAGTGGCAGTGGGCCTGCATCTCGTTTTCTTGTTGCTGGACATGCTTGCCCATTGCTAGAAGTGATGAAAAAGTTGTAAAAGTTAAAACTAGAGAAAGGATTGCCTCCCATCCAATTTCTTGACACAAAACTCAAACGTGGCAGGCTGAGTAGCATTGGCTCGGTGCTCTTGCGCTGGGGACCTCAGGAGATACGGGTGTCGTCACCTGTGTCCTCAGTCAAGTTTTTCGTCCACCCATTGGCCTATTAACGATTTCAGCCTTATCTGGCAGTCTAGCATGAAAGTGTGCTCAGAAAAAGAGGTGAGTCTCCAGCCACGAGGGCCACTGCTGAAAAATTAATTCATCGTTCACTCCTCATTAAGACGCACCATCCACTGAGCGACTGTTACGTCAGCAGTGGGCTGGTGTTGGACAGAAAGTGCGGCTAAGCCGTGGGTCTTTGATCACTTTCCTTCCTTCACAGTGTGGCTCCCAGAAGCCAGAATCACCGTGGATTATCTCTGCTCCTGGTGTATCGTCTAGAACTTTCTCCTTCCACTCTACTCAAGTGTGGTTATAATGAACAGTGCACCGTGGTGGTAGCAAAGTCTTTTTAAGTCTTTCAGTGACTTTAAAAGGTGATCGTACCAACTGCTATTGTCATAGTTAGGGGAAAGCTAAAAGTGAATGGGTAATTAATAGAATAAAATTTCTATAAATCTGCACACTTTGGCCTGAGTTGAGCAGAAGATGGTCCAGCTGTGGTTCTTCTTATGGGAAGCAAAGAAACTCTTTGTAGCTGTGTTTTATCTATGAGGAAGCAGAAAAGATCATTTTTTATTTTGTAAGAAGAAGACAAAAGGCCTTTGCCTTATGTTTTAGCGAAAATGGAAATGGGATTTCATATTCGGAAGGGCAGAGGCGGGGAGAGGCAATGCAGAGCGCACACTTGCACGTTGTGAGAGAAATCATGCTGGCTGGACACCATTCAGAGCTCAGATGGCTCACAGAAATGGGGTAAACGGACTTGAAAATTAAACTGAACGCTCCTTGCGTAATGCGAAGTGATTAGAAAAGAAGGTGCTTATTTTTAGATTTTTATTTAATGTGGAACAAAAAATACTGATTACCTTTGGTTGCCCACTTGCTCCCGACAAAGAGCATGGCCTGTTCCTGGGCACGCCGTGAAGTGCACCCAAGATCGTGCTGATCGGGAGCCCGGGGGCGGATCCAGGCTCTGCAGCCGCTGTGCTCTCAGAATCCCAAACAAGCAGTGGTTCATGGACAGAATCGTGCAGCCGCTGTCACACGCCCTCGGTGAAATGGCCCCTCGCACTCCCGCCTCCCTTCCATCCTTTGCTGGGTCACTGCCGCCAACATTTGCAGCCGTGAAGGAGGGAGCTGGGAAGGACCCTGATGTTTTCTTATCAGCAGTTGGCCCATGGGAGCCTAACGCACACTCCAGAGGTCTAGGAATCCAATTTGCTGCTTAGATATGTACTTGGCACAATGTTTACATTTCAAGGCGTGAAAACTGATGTTTACATCAATGACCTACGTACCAAAGGTATCAAGCACTCAGGGTATTTTCCTTTAGTGTCTTCTAAGACCCAACACAATCTGGCTGGTAGTTTTCTCATCTGCTGCTGCTCAACACCTAATTCTGCTATAGCCACGTTCTCTTTTTCTTTCAGAGGCACCAACACTTCTCCTGCTGCAGGTCCTTTGCACAGGCTGTGCTTTACTGGAATCTTCTTCTTTGGCCGCTACAGTGCTTTGCCATTCTCATTTTAGGGCTTGATCAAATATCACCTGCTTAGTGAGGCCTGCTGTGGGGACACTTTGTTGAAAATATCTCTTTCCCACTTCGCACCTCTGCATCTTTTTAAAATTTCATTTTATTGGTACATTTTAGATACGCATAATGATCTCATAGGGAATTTGTACTTGTACGTGATATATCTTGATTTTTTCCTTGTTTTCCTTTGCCCTCTCCTCTCTTCAACCCTTCTTCCCATCCCTATTTACAAACTCTTTGTCTCCATGTTTTTACTCGCTTTCTTTCCCCCCTTTCTTCCTTTCTCCCTATTCCTTCTGTTGTTTTCCTTCCCATTTGAACATTTTCCTCCTATTTCCCAGTATCTGTTATACGTGTTGGTTCTTACTCTTGTGGTTTCTCACACCAGAGAAACAATGTGATATTTAAACACGTGTTTGATTAATTTCATTTGAGAGTATGGTCTCAAGGTGTATCCATTTACGTACAAATGTCCCCATTTTATCCTTCTTTATTACAGAGTACCACTCCATTGTATTAAAAAAAAAACACATCTTTATCTGTTCATCCATTGATGGGCATTTGGGCTGTTTCCAAGATGCAGCTATTATAAACTATGCTGCTCTAAACATAAGGATACATATATCACTGTGGTATGATGCTTTTAATTCTTGCAGGAAAATACCAAGAAGAAAATAGCAGGGTCAAATGGAACCTTTAGTTTTAGTGCTTGGAGGAATCTCCACACTGCTCTCCACAGTGGTTGCACCAGTCTGCACGTCCACCAACAGTGGAGAAGGGTTGCTTTTTCCTCACAGTCCCACCAGCATTCGTTACAGATTTCTTAACAGTAGCCATTCTTTCTGGAGCAAGATGGAAGCTCAGTGTTGTTTAATTAGCATCTTTCAAATGACCAGTGATACTGAACATTGTTTCATATATGTATTTGCCATTTCTACTTCTTCATCTGAGAAGTGTCCATTCTAGATGCCCATGTTTGGACCGGGTCTTTAAATTTGGGGGTCTGATATTTTTTTTTAGTTCTTTGTTTTTCTAGATATTTGTCTTTCATCTGAGGATCAGTTGGCACAAATTTTCCCCTCTAGGGTGTCTCTTCACTCTGTTGGTGGCCTTTTGCTGTGCAAAAGCTTTTTAATAAGATGAGATCCCAGTTTGTGATTCCTTGTGATATTATTTCCTATGTGATTGGGGTTTTGTTCATAAACTCTTTGCTTATGCCTATGTCTTCAAGAGTTCTGCCTACTCTATCTTCTGGCAGATTTAGTGTTTCTGTTTTAATATTGAGATATTTGATCCATTTTGATTTTAGTTTAGTGCACAGTGAAAAATAATGGTCTAGCTCCAAACTTTGACATGTGGAAGACCAGTTTTTCCAGAACTATTAAAGAGGCCATCTGTTTTCCAGTGAGGGTGTTTGGCACCTTTGTCAAAGATAAGGTGGCTGAGTGTGTTTGGAGTTATTTCTACATATTCTAATCTGTTCCATTGATCCTGGGCCTAGTTTTTTGCCCATACCATGCTGTTTTTATCAATGTAGCTGTGTGGTATAATTTCAAGTCAGGGATTGTGATGCCTTTCCCTTGTTGCCCAGAATCGCTTTTGCTATCCTAGGTCTCTTCTGTTTCCAAATGGATTTGAGGATTGCTTTGTCTAGGGCTGTGAGATATGCCTTTGGCATTTTGACTGTGATCGCATTAAATCTGTGTAACAATTTTGGAAGTATGGCCATTTTTAATATATTGATTCTTCCCATCCAAGAACAAGGGATACGTTTTCATTTTTTGATATCCTTTTCAATCTTCTTTTTCAGAGTATTGTAGATTTCAGTGTAAAGGTCTTTTATGTCTTTCATTAGGTTGATTCCTAAGTGTTTCTGTTTTTCGGTTGCTACTGTGAAAGGGCCACACCTGTACTTCTGAGGCCTTTCGCCTGCTCTGTATTCTATCTTTATTCTCTATCACAGCCACGCTGGCTTTGCACTGCTTCCTTTTCCTCCAAAAATGAAAATTAATGAGGGGAGTTTTTGTTTACTTGTTCATCTCTGCATCCCCAGAACTTGAACTAGTGCTTCTCAGAGCTGTCATCAAAAAGATGACAGATAACAAAGGTTGGAAAACATGTAGAGGAAATAGGACCATTGTACACGATTGCTGGGATGTAAGTTTGTAGAGCCATTATGGAACTCAGTATGGAGGCCCTTCAAACAATTAAATAATAAAACTACCGTATAATCCAGCAATCCCACTAGAGAGTGTATATGGGATGGAAATGAAACAAATACCTCAAAGAGGTAGCTGTTCTCCCATGTGCCTTGCAGCATTATTCTCAGTAGCTGAGATACAAATCTAACTGAGGTGTCCATCAGTGGATGAAGGGATAAGGAAAATGTAGTGGATCTGTACATGAATGGTATTCATTTCAGACCAGAAGGAAATCCTTTCACCTGTGACTATATAGATGAACCTTTAGTCTCAACATTATGTTAAGTGAAGTATCCCAGGGACAAAAAGACAATCGCATGACCTCATGTAAAATGAGATCTGAAGGGGTGAACCGCAAAAATATGTTCTAACCACAAAAATATTGCCCGGTATGTGAGGTAAGGCAAATTAGCTAATTTAGCCACTCCAGAACATACACATAGCTTAAAATGTTATAATACTAAATATATACGATTTTATTTACCAACTAAAAATCAATATAAAAAGTGTTTCTCACATGAAAGTTTTTCAATATGACTGAAAGGTAGTTCCTTGGCTCTGTTGATGGATATTTGAGGTTAAACTAGGACTGGCCCCAGGTGAAGTTGACAAAGTTCATTAGGGTGTTGGGTTTGCTTGTTTTTTTTTTTTTTCCCATCAGTTGGTAATACAAAATGAAGAGGCCATCTTCCATCTGCTCTTCAAACACAGAAATTAAAAAAGGAAAGAGAAAGGAAGAATAAAGGATGTGCAGTGTGGTAAGGTGATAGACCACAGCAAACGTATAACTTGGTCAGAAAGCATTAATGGATGTGTAAACATGCACATCTACCTATGGATGTGTGCAGACACCCACCCACGCACACGCACACACACGTATTGAAGCATCTTCCTAGATAATGAAGGGGTCTTATTTTTATCAGCATGTATTTGTAATAC